AGATTTGTGCCTAACTGCATGGTGTTACAACCCAGAAAGTTGTGCTCTCCACAGTTACCGCTATGAGAACCTAAAATCCAACTTTATGGTATACTTTTCTTTTGCATGTCATACATTTTTTATGGCAGCTACTTTCATCATGAAGCAGTCACATGAGAAGTGAATATGTAATATTTGCAAGACACTTTCATAGTCAAAGCAGTTCTGCCTTGCCATATTCACATTGCTCATGATGTAATTATTAATGTGGTTAGGAGGCTGGATACAGCAGCTGGAAGACATAATTAACAATGATGTTAAAAACAAGTTAGTTGTGAAATTAATATTACACCTCAGCTGGCCTTCTCAATTGCAACAAAATGCCTACGCTGCAACACTGTATGCTTCCTGTTTCTCTCTCTCTCTCTCTCTCTCTGAGCTACAAGAAATAAGAATCACTTGAACCACTGATATGGAAACTTCTCTACATGACAGCCAATAAGAGGCCAAGAAGAATACTATCTTATGAGTTGTGATGCCATGTGACCTGATAGAAATTTACCAGTGTTTGGAGGAACGTACTGCATGTCTTCAGGGCCAAAGAATAATTATTCTATTTGCTGCTTGCTTGGCTTACTCCTCTGTCCTAGATAATGAGTCAGTATCTTCCTCCAAATTGTTGGTGAGCTGTAAGACTGCATGGTGTCATATTCCAGAAGGCCATACTTCCTACAGAATCACTGAAATTTTGTACTGAAGTTTACACTAGAAGTCATTTCATGGTCATTCTTTGTGGAAGACACAATATTGACAAAACTTAAATAATCTTGATCAAATTATATTAATCCACAGCTCCTGTGCAATACAAATTGCCATATCATCACCTGTTTCATAGTGGACTGAAAGGCATGGATCATAGGACTGTACTGACATTACAGAGCAAAATCTTCCTCAGACACCCTCCCTCTTCTAGTCAAGATATTCGTGAATTTCATGGATCCCTGTGGTTCATTACCATATTCACCAGGACCCACTACTAGACCCATTCCTGAGATAGCAGAATCTAGTCCACATCCTCATACCTTATTTCTTAAAGGCTCATTTTAATATTATCCTCCAATCTACATGCAAACTACAGCTACAACTAGGACTCAACAGATCCTTAGTGCCAGATCATATCATTACCAAGAAACTTCATTTTAACAAGTACTTTCTTAACAACATTAAGTTACATGCATATTTAATCTTAAGTGTTCAAACTCTTCATCCTATCAAATTTAGAGGTGACCTTTATCTCCAGAACAGATTTTTCATGTTTTAGCTCTAAAACTCTTAAGAATTAGTTTTCTGCCTAAAAGCAAATGACAGGGCCTGGCTAACAACAGTTCTTGTGTGTCTGTGTTCTAGCAAGCAGCACTACAAGATTCCTGCTGTAATTTATATCTATAGTGTATTGAACAAGAATGGTGTCTTTTTCTTTTCAAGAAAGAAAGATGCTGTAACTTAGATGGCTGAACCATATACACGGCACCACATCCCAGAAGACTGCTTTCTTCATAATCACTGCCATTAAAACCTCAAATCTTATATGGATGAAGTTGTCAACAAACAATAAATTAATACAAAATTTTTGTATTCCTACTTTTATCATTTTTTCTTGATATTATAATTTCTTTCACAGGAACATCAAAACAGTAAAACTTCCAACATTCAGGTCTTTAGAACTTTGAGGCATTAAGGCACTATATATGTGATTTTGGTGTGCATCTGGTTCATTCTATGGGAAAGAACTGCATGAAATTCCTCAGCACAGGGCAGGACTGTTTGTATCTTCAAGATATGCTTCACAATATGATGCCAGTCAGCATCACCAATGAAGTAGTGGAAATGTTGCTTAATTCCATTGATGATTTGTATAAGGATATCTGTTCATGGCGTAGGAAGTCTTGGTACAATAAAATACTTGAATAGATCATGAAAGACATCATTCATCTAAGTGTGACTAAATTAGATTTGTGTCATATGGCATATCTCATCTCAGGCATTCCGTTAGCAGACTTTACACACCAAACAGACTGAAAGTGCTAAAATTGTGGTATTTGATGGATAAAACTTCTGAAACTACCATTATAACAGGCTTACATGCTATGACAAACTTAGATATATTTGTTTTACACTGTCTTTGTTCCAACATCATAACAGCGACAGCAGGTATATATACACAGTTGAGAATACTAGATGTTTCTTTCTCATGTTCTGTAACCAATATTGCCATAGGAGACATCATTAAATTAGGGCGTTTTGAAGAGGTGAATATACTTCATACATCTATAACTGAAGGAAGCTATACAAAGTTCCTTAATAGATTGAGTCATTTTACAGTAGTTAGTTAGTTAGTTAGTTATTGGAGAGGGTGTGTTTCCCCATGCACTTAGACCTGTATTGGTCCATTGTGCTTCCCTCTATGATATTCTACCAGTCTCTATATCCTACCAGTACTGGTGCTTACCATCAGTCCCGCCCAGCCAGCGAGACCGGCTCTACTAGCTGAGAGGTATCTATAATGCTTCCCCCATCTATCAGAGGTATTAGAGACTGCTGTTGGGCGGGAAACGTCCGTAATTTGGCTCAGTGACCTCCTTTGGAGATATGAGGTTCTTTTACGTGCCGTAAAGCTACGACACGGGACCCACGGCTTATAGTCCCTCACGGAGGACTTGTTCCCTGAATTTTTCCGCCCTTAAAAATTCGACGACCTCCACCAGGTATTTGAACCCACGTATTACAAATCATGAGGTGGGAATGTTACCTCTAGACTACGGAGGCCACTCATTTTACAGTAAGTCTTTGCATGTTTGATACATCCAAAATAGAACTTCAGACTTCAATCTATTGCTTAACTACATTCAGAACCTTGGAGAAATAAATGTTAGATGATGTATTTGTGACAATTTGTTATAGTAGGGATGCAGAATCTGCAGTATATCAGGTTTAATGACATAAATTTTCCAACATCCAACAGTTGACTCTCACAACAGGATTACAGTTGCATGAACTGAAATTGTACAAGGTAAGGGATATAAATTTGACAGTGATAGGTAGAAATTATCTCTAAAGATGTTGTACATGTCAAATCCCCCAGTGTGTTGATAACATTGTTTCATTTCTAGGCTTCAAATTTTTACAGCTTCTCACCCTTTACCTGTACCATGGTTATTCATTTATTTCTTATACATTATATGAATGAACTAATCTAAAAAACAGTGCACATGTTTATAACATGAATGTGGCTCAGTTATAGAATTTGCTCTTTCAAGAAATCCATTAAAATGTTCAGAATCTCAAATGTCAGGTTTGCCATCATTGCATACTGTGAAATTGCTTACTGTATCCTGCCCACATATTATTAGCTTGAAGGGCATAAACACAAGGAACAGTACAGGCGTTTTGGAGGAGCTTATTAAAGGAAAGATGGAGCATCATCTTTATGTTTATATGGGTGAATGGAATCAGATGGATTTTTAAAATGCTTCAGACATGTCACAGAATAAAAAAAGAAGTATCTACAGAAAATATCTAAGACATGAGTCTCATACATCATAAAACTACTGGCAAATTGATACTATTGTGGGATGTTAATGTTCCAAAGAGACAAACACATAGAAGTATAACAGGTGTATATATTATTTACAAATGTACAGGTTGGCTGGGGAGCTGTTTCGATATACTAGATTGCTGGCCCTGAAAAGGGGCGTTGTTCAACTGTAGTTTGCTGGTCCTGAAATGGGCCATTTTTTCCACTGTGTGTGTGCTAGTAGAGTTAGCTGGACGTCGTTCAGTGCTGGCTGGGTCGGCTGACGACTGGCGCCATTTACTGGAGTTGCACTTACAGCGAGGCACGTAGACCGATGAAGGTTGAACTGATGCATATTCGTATGCGGAGCCATGAATGTCTCTGTCAAAGTCAAAGTCATGTTGCGACTGACGATCCGTCAGTCAGCTGGGGCTCATGACCAGATGTTACTTTTTAAGTGAAAGTTACTGTCCTGTCCATGTGGGGGACCCTCTCTGACAAGAGGTCAGGTCTGTCACTTGTCAGTCATAATCAACAGTAGCAGTCCATTGTCAGTACGTACACTTTTTTTACAGTTGAATCTTAATATCTAGTATGTATAATATTACAAGCCCTCTTGTCAGTCTAGGCTCAGTACAGCAGACTATACCCTATTTCTAGTAGTATTCGCTACCATGGCAGTTTAGTAACTTGAACGGTCGTATGCCTGACTGTGGCCAAGTTTAAGCCTCTTATACTTTCTGTGTCAGGCTTCGCCTTGTCTGATGTTGCAAACATTCTCATTGTCATGATTTTGTATGACTTCTGCTTGTCACCTGCATAGTTTTCTTATATAATCATATATGTACAGGATTTTGAAAGCCATGTGCAAATCGTTGACTGGTGTGCACCTTGTTCTGTAGGCGCTGCAATTTCACTGGATGGGTGTCTGCCGCCAACTCCCAGGCGGGACTAGCATAAGTCATTAAGATCCAATGAGAGCTTTGTGTAGGGTCAGCTTAATGTTAGCGCTTAATCACTCACTTTTGAATAGGGAATATACTCTAATGAATGTTCTGAAGGCTTTGGCTTAGATCATTTAATTTTCAAGATGCAGGACCCATTGTTAATGCTTATTCTACTGATCAAACACATTCTGCCAGAAATTTCACTATCTGCGTGCAGTATTAGAAACCAATATAATCTGCACATGGTACCAAAGAGATGCCAACGGGAAAGGGGAAGTGGTATACGGTACTTAAATTGATACTTATACTCGCACTACACCGCACTACACATATGTTTGAAAATGCGTTTAGCGCTACTAGCGGTAGAAGTCGGAGAACATTTAATTAATCGCAGCAAAACAGTTCAGGTTTGCTGAGTTAATGTAAAATGTCACCTGTAGATTGCGCACTTCACTATATACAATGCACTCTTGCGGATCCTCTTAGAACTATCAGCCTACGTAGCCATTTTAGGACCAAATTATGTAAATAGGTAGTTCTGTTTGTTATTGTAGCGTATTTAAATGGTCTGTTTTCGCTTGTGATACTTCGTGCTGTTCTACATGAAGCTTGGTGACGGTATTTCATAAAGTGAAATAGACTTCGCGCCATTTTACCGAAATGGAAGAGGACAGAACATCGGAAACTGTCGTAATGCCGGACATCTCCGAACCTCTAACGAACGAATCCGAGGAACATGGAGTTCTGACTTCGGAATCACATCAAACTGTGACACCGGTTGCAGTTCCAGTGGCATCAGTTCCCGTGTCTCTTCCTGTTGGTTCACTAATTGGGGTAGCGAGTACTGGTACAACATTTAACGTTATCACACCTGATCAGTTACAGGTTCGTAAACTAAAGTATAGGACCTTGTTGCAACTATGTTGTTTTTTCAGGGGATTTGAAGCAATAGTAAGATATGTTGGTACTCCCGATTAAAATCAATAGGTTATGGCCGACAGTTTTGCAAGTGCGAGTGAATCAGAATATTAATTGTGCGCACGCAGCTGCAGCTGTTGTTATATCTCCCGTCCCATAATATTTAAACCTTTGGCGGAAGGTTGTGTTATTCTTACTAAATATGTATTTTAGATCAGGTAAAGGAATAGTTTAAAAATAGTTAATAGTGTTAATAGTTATACAACGCTTCGTTCTTAAGTGAGTAATAGGCTTTCTTGAAGTCTGTGAATAGTTTTAAGTGCTTATGTCCTATTGTCTCTCTAGTACCTGCCAAATGCAGAATACCAAATTACTGATTGATTTAACTAACTGTATGGAGCTCAGTCCTTGAGAAGCTTACAGTTGTTCAGGCACTCAGTAAATTGCCAGCATTGTATGGGAACCAAAGGTTTATTACAGTGTTCACAAGAGCCTGCCACTGGTCCCTGGCCGTAGCCAGATGAATCCAGTCCACACTCTCATCCTGTTTCTCTAAGATAATTTCTAATATTCCTTCGTCTTCAATGTCCAGAATTTCCTAGCAGTCTGATTCCTTAAGGTTTTCCTACCAAAGCCTGTACACTCTCCTCTTGTTTCCCATGTTTATGTGGTACATCATAATTTACATAAATGATCATCAGTAATTTTGTCTACATCTGGAATTAAACTTGAAGGGAAAATTAGCAATGTAAAATTTAGATATTTACAAACTGATATTACAGTTACCTGCTTCTGCTCAGTTCAAGCCCCATGTGTTGTGTGTGGACAACAGTTTCATCTGCGATACTCGGCAGGATAAGGACTCAGAACCACTGCGCACCTGGGTGAGATCACAGGTAAGATTTCGATTTGTCCTGATGTACTAGGAGATTCTTACCTTTGATGACCGGTTCACAGCATCTGGCGCACCACTGACTGCAGTCCACATACGATTTTTGCTGATAAATCAGTGTGCCTAATGGCCAGTAACATTTGGAATTAAGGGAAGTTATTAACTTTGTTGACCACTGGATGGCATTATGTTTCTCAGTGAGCAGTGTGGTTCATGGTTGAGAATTTATGATTTGTCAGCAGTAGGAGGCAGTTATCAGCTCCATTAGCCATTTGTTCTCAGTTACACTTAGCGAGCAGTGTGTTCCATCATAGTACACTATACTTTAGAGCAACATCTTAATCCCTTTACTGACAGCTGTAATGTTTCCTACAGTAATATAAGCAGATTTAACAAGGAGCTTTGGACAGAACTCATAAACCCTGCTTATGTATTGCACAGAGCTCTGGCCCTGCAGATCTGTCATCGTCATCATTGTTGTTGTCTTATTTTGTTTTGTAAAGAACTTATTACTTAAGTATAGACTCTGTTTGCTTTAATTTGTTGGACATTACTGAAAAATTCAGGATTATTGCTGTGTCCGAAACTGTTGACTTACAGACTGTTTTATACATAACGTGTAGATATGTTTGTGATCCATCTGCACACCATATTTGACATCAAACTGAAAGTGGGAGAAAAAAAATTAACACAGCTGCTATGTTTACACATTATGAATTTGTTTAATGGCGCTCATAATTTTCGGAGATCTAGTACCATGCTTTATTTAAGGACCGTAAATTAAATGTTGCTGCCGCCTCAGAAATTGCAGTATCCACCATGTCCTTACTGATGTGGGCCAGTGAGATTGCCTCTGATAGCATAAGTTTCATTCCAGGTTTTATGGAAACTGGTCAGCTGGTTCAAAAGCTGAACATGGGAGAGACACATAAGGAGAGAATTGTGGGTGATCACATAAGCCTAATTGTTTCCTTAAGGGAAGTGAGCTAAAAATAGATATACAAAACAATTGAAGTACTGTATTACTGAAACTGCTGGTCACGGTAGCCGAGCGGTCTAAGGCATGCACTGTTTTCGCTCGCTCTGAAGCCAGGATCGCAAGTTCAAATCCCACACAAGGCATAGATGTTTGGTGTGTGTGCTCGCTCGTTTTTCTGTGTTTGTGTTGTCCTGTGCTTGGGTAGAAGCCTTGCGACGAGCTGGTCACTCGTCAAAGGAGTCCTACCATCTGTAAAATGATCATGAAACTGAAAAATCAGCCCTGTGCTCCAAAGTGAGAGCGAGAGGAGAAAAAATTACTGAAACTATGTAGCTTGTTTTCGTATTTTTCACTGCTGGTTTTGTTCTCTGTTTTGGTTAATTTTGACGATATTTTTGCTGCAGAATGGAGAGCTGAAAGCGACACACATAGTAATACAGAATGACCCAGGCAGTAGCGATGAGCCCAACACCCCTTCCAGTATTCCTGGCACTCCTATGGGACTGCGGGGCGAGACAGTTCCCAGTTCTTGGACGGAATCAGCTAACATGCCTGTTCTGCCAGTGAGGTGTAAGGTAATGTAATTCTATATACAAAACATTTTTTTATTTACGTATTTTTTGTGTTTTATGTTGAAGAAAACTGCATAATGAGGAGCTTCATAACTTGTACTCTTCTCCAAGTATAATTAGAATGATCAAGTCAAGCAGGATGATGTGGCAGGGCATGTAGCATGAGTGGGGGCGAAGAGGAATGCATATAGGATATTAGTGGGAAAGCTGGAAGGAAAGAGACCACTGGGAAGACCAAGACATAGGTGGGTGAACAATATTAAAATGGATCTTAGAGGGATGGGATAGTATGGATTGGATTCATCTGGCTGAGGATAGGAACAAGTGGAGGGCTCTTGTGAACACGGTAATGAACCTTCAGTTTCCATAAAATGCCTCGAAGTTCATGAGTAGCTGCCCAATTGGCAGCTTCTCGAGAAGGGCTCAGCTTCATGAGTGAGTCCATGTTTTACATTTTGCTGTGTATGTGAATACTCGGGTTTTGTACCATCACATAACAAACATGGTTTTTTGACTACTGTGCAATAAAACAATTGAAATCAAGTGAAAACAAAAGTCAAATCAGCTTTTACTATAGCAGTTATACCATGGGTTTCGTTCTACTTTGACCATCATCAGGTGTGTTATTTTATTATACCATAGTCAGAGACTCGCGTTTGTTATGTGACGGTATAAACCTCAAATACATTTCTTTTTACAGGAATTGATGTGCTCACAGCAGTGATAATGATGAGTACTGTTTAGGATATAACACTGTGTAGTCCATTGAAAGTCAACCAATGTCTCTGAAGAACATACCGCCTCCATGTTCAGGGTCACCAGTGTGAAAGCAGTGATATTTTGATCGGCCCTGAAGATGGAGACAAGATGTTCCTCCGAAACGTCGATTGACTTTCAGTGGACTACACAGCATTTTATCCCAGAAGATGCATTTATCTTTGTCAGCAAAGTATTTCAATTCCATTATTACATCTGTGTTTATCAGAATACCACAACTTCAATCATATCACACAAATGCAAAAATTCTGCATTATTTGGCTGAGAATTAAAATTCTTCACAGAATGACATATGTCATCTTCAATCTCCATTATTTATTTCTCTTAAGAACACTTCAGTTTAGTCATGCATATCAATTTTACCATTTACATTTTTGTATCATGGATTTTTATTTATGTATTAAGTATTATTAATCATGTAAGTTACTGACTAAAAATGTTAAAAAATGAATTTTGTGTATAATTACACAGATTTGTAACATACTAATTTGCAGAATACAAGCGCAGAGTTGCATAAGCATCGGTTTGGCTCAGGCGGACGAGGGCGTTGTATCAAGCTGGCTGATTCGTGGTATACCCCAAGTGAATTTGAAGCGCTCTGTGGTCGAGCATCTAGCAAAGACTGGAAGAGAAGCATCAGGTTTGGTGGTCGGAGTTTGCAGACTTTGATTGATGAAGGGATCCTGTCACCACACGCCACAAGCTGTACCTGTTCTGCATGTTGTGATGATGACACAGCAGTGAGTACCATTATTCTTCGAAGCATTGCTTGTAGTGGTATATCTGAAGTTTGTTTCAGCCATCAGATTACTCCAGAAATTACTTAGAAACTCTGGTCTTGTGTTTGATGTGTAGATTGTTAAGGAATAAGGAACTTCATGATTGGTACTCCAATTCAGATATTATTGGATAATGATATCAAGGGAGATGAGATGGATATTCATTTCCCATCTTCCCCATATGTGCTACGAGTCGGGATAGCGCAGTCGGTATAACAACCTGCTACAGGCTGGACAACTGAGGGGTCAGAGTTCAGGACCTGGTAGGATCAAGAATTTTCTCTTCCCCACATCATTCAGACCTACTCTGGGGTCCACCCAACCTCCTATCCAATGGGCAGCGGGGTCTCTTTCCCTGCGGGTAAAGTGACCAGGGCATGAAGCTGACCACTCACCTCCAAATATTGCTGAGGTCAAAATGTGGATCTATGTATCCACTCCCCCCATACACCTTCATGGCATAGTGCTTAATTAGTTAAGCACAGGGATGTTACCTTTTTTTTTTACCCCATATATGCTGCACATCATGTACGCCTCGTCTTTCTTCATTTAATTACTGCTACCATAATAATAGGGCGTGAAGTGTACAAATTGTGAACTGCGTTTAGTATTACTGTTAATTTATAAGATTCATTGCATTGTATTTATTTCAGTCAAAAAATACTGGGTAACTATGAAGATTGTTTTCTAAACTGTTCATAGAAAAGTCAAAATTCAAGTCATGTTAGTCGGAGGAAACCTGAGAGTTCCAAGCCCCAGACCAGTCGAAAGCTCAAATTATATGCTGAAAAACCTTATGGAAACCATGGATTGTGCCCATTCCTGAGAATAAATGATTTAGAGTTGTATTTTGATACTGCAGACTGGACCGGTACGTCTTTTCACACCATACAAGCGTCGCAAGAGAAAAGATACATCAGATGGAGAGGGAGGCATGCCGCGCAAATTGAAACGTGCAGTATCCAAAGATGGCAGTAATGGGGAGGACAGTGACGCAGGTAATTATATAATATCCCCACTGCATCTGCTATACCGTGTTTCATTTAAAGTTTTCTTATTAGAGCCCATTTTAAAGATCCTTGGCCTCAGAGATTGCCCCATTTTGCGTTCATATTTTATGGTTCCGGCCAAAACTAAAGAAACTCCGTGGTTTTAGTCCGCAAGCGAACTATACTGACCGAGAGACCGCCACTTGTGGGCGAAATTAGTGCCAAGTTTAGAGGATAGAGGGTGTCGCTTGGTCAGCGCAACAGATCCCCACGGCCATTAATCTTGGGTTATCTATACATGGTTCTGGTCAAAGTCACGTATAAATAATCCATAATTTTTTCTCATTTATCTTAGTCATTTCAGTGCTTTACCCAATCCATGCATGAAATCTGTACCACAAATTAGTGTCGTGTTTTCTCAAATGAAAGGCCAAGTCTTGTTTTGGTGGTTAAGTAATGAAGGACTGTGTTCAGTTTGGGTGCAAAAAATATATTAATCGTTTTGAAATCTTTAACTTTCAGTTTTTATTTTTCTGAGATGCAGTAAATTCTAATATTCTTGCCATCAGCATAAAAAGTGAGATAGAAATATATTTCAAGGTCGGGAGATGAGTCTTGCGACAAGTTTGCGTGAAGAGCCGCTGAACCTATGAGTCAGAAGCTGTTATTCACTAAAAAAAAAACACATGAAATCACAATTTATGTGTAGATGTGCTTCTTAGTAGGGTAATCATCTTAGATTTGGAGCCATCTTTGATTCAGATAAATACAGCATTTGCATGCCAATGCTTTTGGCTCAGAGAGACCTTGAAGTCTGAGTGTCTTTGTTGGCCTTGGACGAATTCTTGTAGTAAGAGTGGGAATAAAACCAGTGGTACACGTCATTTGCATAACTGGTCCAATTTTGCATATTCTATATTCAGAAGAAGTTTTTGTTTGTTTTGAAATGCATGTTAATACTGTCCATGTAAATCCCTTCTTAAAATTAGAACATCGACACAAATGATAGAAATTGACTTTAAGCAACAATTGCTGTGCAGATAGGCATGTCATACTGTATTTTTTGGTATAATTGCTAGACTTATCCACATATATATTCATCCATTTTTGGTAGATTGAGATAAATGTTCATAATTAACAAAGGAGTGTCATTGGTATTTGAATGTTATATAATGCTTATTTAAACTATTTCTCAGTGTAATATACAGAAGTCTTGACCCCAAAACAAACCTTAAATGGAGTTTGATTTGTTTCATTCTGGTCCATCACACTAACAATTACAAATATATATCACTCCATCCAATGTGACCTGTAAGTGAAAAACAGCACAGCAGCCACGAGCAAACCCTGGACGATATAAAGAACCTCCACATCAGGATAGTCAGGTGGCACAATATCTGCCCCATAAGAGGGACGATGGGAGGACGAACACGAGCCTGCATGGTTTACGAATTTTAATTATTGACAATCCAAAAAAAAAATTTAATTTAGCATCAAGAAATTTTATACAATTTTATAAAAAACTTTACATTCCCAGGAAACTGCTGTGTTTGTGAAATGTTCTATTTTGTGTACTATGTATTGTAGCATATAAGTGTACGTACTTTATGTCTAAACAACTTATGTGATGGTGGTTTCCTATTTGTAGTGATGTTTGCCCTCTGAAGATGGTCCACAGAGACCGAAACATGTAAGGGTGTTAAGTTTTCCATGTAGTAAAAAACTTACAGGTCACATTGGATGGAGTGATTTATACTTAAATGGAGATTTCACTGTATAAAGTTTCATTCATTATATTTTATTATGGTTCCAAAATTTAAACAAGGAAGAAATCCGCCAGCCATGAGTAGAAGTAACTACTGATCAGATCTATTACCCATTTTCGAAATGGGCTCATTACTGTCCACAAATCCTAAGAAAACCATTACTTGGGATACTCTTCTTTTCCTTTCTCTGTGTGTACTTCGTATAGCAGAACAGATTAAATGTTTCTTAATTGAACATTACCTTAATGCTCTCATATGTAACTGTCCCACTGCTTACTTTATGTTTTAAGTTCTCATGTTGGTGTTCATTTTATGTGCCAGCTTCTCAGATTTATTTGCATTAGACCCACTTTCTTTCCTTTGGCCTTCACGCAAAGATGGACAGTACAGTACAGGTATCCCGCGATATACACAGTCGTGTCGTTATTGGAAAACAGCATTATGCATGAAAACATAAATCTAAGACACTGTTTCTGTAGACTTTTTATTAGGAAGAAGGAGTATCTTATGCTGTCGAGCTTACATTTTTCAGTGATAAACTTGAAGATCTCTGTTTTTACTGTATTATAAATCTTAATTAATTTCAGTTCATAATTTGTTGAGCTGAGATAAGCGATTGACTTTTCAAAAAATTCCTGTAGAGGTAACAAAAAGCTGGATTCTTTCCTCAGGGAGTTTCAGAAAATTATTAGGAGGTAGTGTTTTCAGATTTATCAAAAAGATGAAACACATACAATTTTAAAGTAATTATTTTTCAACATAATTTATTCCTAGCGGGTACTGTGGCTGTTTCCCAGGGGATAAATCAGCAGGGATGTGAAAATGACCACCCCATCAGTTGTTAAGAACAGTGGGGCTATGTCTACAATCCCATACCTCTTCATGGTATCATGCTAATTAATTAACCCGTTGCCGTGGTTCGTCGTGTATGTTTCGTCAGGGATTTAAATCGTCTGGGGGGGTTCGACGTGTATGTTTCGTCCAGCTGCACACGTATGTTATAACGCCCATAATAATTGATGGTTTTGCTGTAGATTGTTAGATTTTTCACTGGCCTGTTGTCAGGAGGACTGTATTTAATGACACACGCGTTTAAGAGCGCTAAGTCGTCGTTACATATGCCTGTCTTGCAGCAACGTTCCTGTGGCTATTGCGAGCTGTTTCTGTTATGAATGATGTGTTTTGTTTGCTCTGAAGCTATAAACACCAGAGACTGATATGTGCTGGTGTTTATAATATCATATTGCCCTGAGCTGGCTATTCAATTGGAATTCTTAG